ATTCTATATTTCCCACCTTTCAAACAGCACAGCGTTAAATGCATCTTTGACCCCATTGTTGAGGAGACGGCACCGGCGACAATTGTGATAGACTCGCTTCGCGCCACTGTAGATTGTATCAATTTGGCCCTCCGGAACTGAGAACAAGGGAAGGGTGGGCTCTAGTTTTGTTGGTTTTGTTTTTTTTTGATATGGCCATGCAGGTTTAAAATGAGAATTGTGAACTGTTAGTTGAAGGATGCTGAAGTATGTTCTTCCGGAGTACGTTCATGAAGAACTTAGTTAAATTTGGGGGACTCAGATGATCAAATTTTTTGAATAACTACCATCTTAGCAAATACTGCATCGTTTTTGATATTAATACAGCTAGTGTCTTTTGTCATTGGCTGCAATGTAGTTTTTCGAATTTAATCTGTTCTATTGCAGAGTAATTTCAGAGATTTTTTTTTTCAGTAATGTTTGCACTGTAAAGATTCTTTTGTCTGTACGCTATATTTATCATTATTTGAAAATAAAAATTTTTTTGAATGCTTTGTTTTTTATTGCATTTTAAGGCCTTTATTTGTTGTTTCACAGTCGCTGAAATATCGTGTAAAAAGTTATGTTGGGATATTTTTGGAACAGTCATTTTTATTTGAATAATCTTTAAAAAATTTTTTGATCGTTAACTGCTGATTACCAAAGATAGTATCGGTAGAGAATGTTTTCTTTTTCAAAATTATTTTGCCTTGACGGTGATAAGGATAAGTCTTGTCAACAATAAATATTTTTGCTTGTTTAATTTTGTGATTTTTTCATCTATTCAAGATACAACACATTTGCCTAATTGGTAGTTCAGTCCGCTGTTTAACCATAGTGTTTTTTTAGTGCTTTTGCTAAATCGATAAGCATACAATTTTTCTGTTCTTTTCAAATTGAAAAACTTAAAGAATTGTCTGGTGCAATAAGGGTGGAACTGTAATTGGTACCAACTATCTTATATGTTTGCATGTTTGTGCGTCTATGTGTATTTGTGGGTATGGTTCTGGAGCATTGATTCGTACGGACTATACCATCGTAATAGTTTGATTTTTCGTACCGTAGCTGTAGTATCGTCTTTAATGAAGCTCTGCTGAGGCGATTATTCACTGAAAACGTAATTATTGATCAGCCGATTGTTTGGGAGGAGAGGGGGTGAGTGATGGTTAATAGTTTTAGTGGTATTCTAAGGGGGATAAACAGGTTTAATGTTTGTCAGTGATAAATTTGAAGAAATCTTTTGAAAGTTTCTACAAGAAAGTCTTCATGAACTTTTCTTCGGCCATTGCCATTGTAATAATGACTTTGAAAATGCACAGTTGCATTTGGTAAGGCTACTAATTCAGTAGGTTTAACATTGATTGTCTGTTTTTTTTTTTCTTGGTCTGTCGAACTTTTTATACATATTTGACGTAACCGAAATTTTGAAAATTGCTGTTGTATTAGTGTTGTCGTTGGTTGTTTCCAAATTTACTATTCAATGGTATAACAACAATGCCATTCTCTAAGTGAACTGTTGGTTGTTGTGGTTAAAAGTGACATTTAGTGCACGTTTTCAGCAACCAATTTGCCGTCTACAGCGTTTCTTACCATACGCCAACTTTGGCGTTAGTTGACTTCATTTGAACGTATAAGTGATGACGCTTTTGAGAATGACAATTCTTCATAATATCTGTTCTGAAATTTTACGGATATATAATTTTTAATGATAGTTTTCCCGAATACATCTTGTTTTTTTATTTCTTTTATTTTAATCTTTATTTTTTTCTGCTCACATTTTCTGCATCATTTTCTATTTAATTGCATTTAAATTTAGTTCAAAATTGTTTCCGGTATTTTTGTGGTCTACTAAACACTTTTTTTTGCTCTACTTATTCATTGTTACCTATATTGTCTGTGTAATGTCTGAGAAATTTAATGTAAAAAGAACAATTTTTTGTTATTTTTTTCGACTATGTTTAGAAATGTTTAGATAGAAACACATGAAATTAATTACTCTCTTTTTAATTAGCAGCAAAAGGGGGGGGGGGGAAACAAATTTTTGCAATCTCTGAAAATAACTGTTTAAAACAAAAAACGACCTTCTTAAAAAAATGAGTTTTTTCAAAGGGACGTTTTTTTTAAACACTTTTTTTCAAAATTTTCAAATTAACACTGATTATATGGAATTTTTTATTGAGATTCAAAGTACAGTACAGTATGCTCATTGTTATTTGAATTTGATGGTTTGTTTTGCATTGACTTTACAGAGAGGAATTTTTTTTTCTCTTTTGATTCTTGGAAACTTTGTGTTTTTGAAAAGGAAATTTGATAAGGCATTTCGATAATAAATGTATGTTTGATGATGATTGATGTTGTTTGTTACGTTCAAGTACTGTTAAGAAAAAGAAGTTGCTTTACGATGGACAACATTCATTGGTTCACTGACGGACTAAGTAATGCTAGTTGATATAAAATTAGTTTAGCTGTTGAGTTAACAAAACTATTTGTTTCTAAAGCTAAAAAGGAAGGAAATGACGAACAAACAAGCTAGTAGTAGTAGTAGTAGTAGTAGTAGTGTAGGAAGTACAAGAAGAAATTGCATAATTAACAAGAGGTTTATTTGCGGCAATTGGAGGAGGAGACAGAAATAGGGAAAGAGTAATCAAGTAAATGCAGTTGAGGAGTCGGATCTGAAATTAACTGCTGGCTACTGGAATCTGTGAATGGGTATTTTTTGTGCGGGACTTTGCTGAACATCATTGTATGACCGGTGTTTTCTTTTGATTGTCGTAGAAGAAACGTATTAATATAGGTAGGTGCGTGTATATTAGTTGAAATCAGGTGACGACGTTCCGTTGGTGTTCGGTGATACTTTGTTCGTTAATTTGGTCATTAATTTCCATTTTTTTTCTTTTGTTTTTATATTGTCGTTTGTCAGTGTTATCGCCTGTAGTCGTTTATCGTTCGCGTTGTTCTTATTGTTGGTCTTTTTTTTTGTCATCAGTTCCTTTCGTTTTGTTCTAATTTTCTTGGATGATTTTTTCCTAATTAAATTGAAAAAAATTTAATCTTAAAAAAGCCTGGAATGAGTGGGAATGGTCTAGAGTACAAACTTGGTACAATTATGTGCATGTTCATATTTACTGCTGTTTATTTCCTCGTCAAAATTCAAGCAGGTGGATAATTAATTTTCATTTAGAAAATATTCGATTTTTACACACAATTAGTCAATTATTTCTCTAGTGACACTTTAAATTACATTTTAATTAATATTTTCTTCTCAGTTTTAATACTCGATGTTTTTTTACCACTCCGCCTTTCCTTGTTTTCCGCTATCTATCGTTGTCCGTATCGTTGTCGTTTTCCCTTGCTGTTTCTAAGTTTCCTAACTGTGTCCAAATAGCTTCAAAGTTAGGTATGTTTATTTATTTGTGAAAGGATAACGGTATTTTACATTTCTAAGTGAATATGATTTAGGTTGACAAAATTGTTAATTGCTGATCAATTTACTGTTATTCCAATTACGTGTTGAAAAGCGGACGATATCAGGAGATTCGCTATAATCTTATATGCTTATAAGATTGCTGATAAATTCGTATCCGTTCGCAGCAACAAGCTTTCAGTTATCTAATTTTCTCTCATTTTCAGACTTACATAAACGCTAGAGGAGTCATAATACTGCAGCTGAAAAGTAGTGCTGAAAATATATTTCATATGAATTAACACTGCCTATACGAATATTAAACAATTTATGGATGGACGAATTCCATAAAATGATTAAATCGCTGGAAACACTGGCAACTGAACGTGCATTGGAAAGTCTTAGTGGTAAATTTTTGGAATATGCAGCATATTTGTTGAAAAGCTTGAGGAAAGCACCCGAAAATATCGTTGTTGAATATGCAGCTACCTGGAATTCTCATAAATTTGCAATCTACGGTTTTATTGGCACACGAATCTCCTTGATGGTACGTATGTGAACATTGGTTTACTGTATATACTAGCTTTGAACGTATTCGACCTCTTAGTGTGAATTAGTCAATAGTGCATGAAGAAGTGACAAATGTTTTGACGCTGTCATCTAGCTTTGTCCACTAGTTGTTCTTAGCCCGAATGTGTCTCTTCCAAATCTTAATTTTGCTCAAGTGAATCCACTGGTTAAAATTGAGGTTGACTGAACTAATCAAAAGAGATCAAAAAAGCCGATTTGTACAGGTCTTCTTTCCTCTGCTGAAATATTATCTTCTATTTTATGAGTGCTTAGTTTTTTTTAGATAAATTTCGACAATATTGAAAATTTCACTCAGTTCGTTCAAGCTACAAAAATATGGGGTGCAAGATGGGTGTTGCATGAATCAATGAATTTTGCGCCACTTGCAGTACGTGTACGAATATTTACAATTTACTATTTATTTCTGATGCTATTTCCACTTTAAATCTGATGTTGGGTGACAGATGAAGAAAGCTTTTGTGAAATTCTTTTTTACTAATTTCCGAGATAGGAGTCCAAAGATAATTGCAATTATTTAGGTATCTCCTGGACAGAGGCATTTATCAACTGGAAATGTTGCTTCAGTTGGTGACTCTACACACCAGCACTGTAAGTTGCAATGTTTCATGTGCGACGAGGAATTAACACTCCCAGATGAACATCTTAAGGCAGTAAGGTGCGACAGATTTAATGCTGAAATACCGCTATGGACTCACTGTTAGTCTAGTCGAAAATTTTTTATGCGATCTCGATCAGTTGTGTTTTCTTGTATATAGGTTCCTTGTTTTATTGTTCCTGTTACAGCCGTATTTGGACTTTATCCGTACTAATTAGGTTGATGGTATCATTTAGTGCGAATCATCCTCAAAATACGGAAATTTATTTTGTTCCGTCACACATACAAAAGAAAAATAATGCAATAAATATTAGAACACAACACACGTAGAAAACACCCTCAAACCCACCAGATTCATAAATCGTTGTCGTCATTCTCTTCTGGATACGCGTCACGGACCTAAATAAATAAAGTAGAAACTTCATCCTGAACTTTTTTACTCAGACATTAAACTTCCAATTCACAGTTCCATTTGAAAACTGGCAGTGTAGCTTTAAGCTACTTTGATTCGTGTTCGGAGTTCCAAACATGAAAGCTAAGGGCATTTTTCAAATTTAAGAACCGAATTTGCTCGACAAGAGCTTCCTCCCCTAGATCGAGTCCAATTTTCGTCCATTTTCCCGCCTCATCTCTCTTGCAAAGTAGCCATGGAGGTTTCAAGCAGCTTCCTTCCAAACTTTCACGCTGCTCGATAAAACTGTGCCGGTAAATCGCCTCAATTTTTACAGAACATGCAAACAAGCGCACTTGCTTTTTTATGTCGACGCTCTACTCTGCGTCATTTTCAAAAAAGAACGTAACCGCAAGAGTGTACATGAAGCCCCTGAAAAGAGACTCTGCCGAAAATAGTAGAGTTTAGGCCGGCACCTGCTCCCAAAGTCCTCTGTTCCATCCCAAAACCTAACATTACTAATTACAAATGTAAGAGCTGTTTTTCAGGAAATTCCTTGTTATGAAAAAATTAATGTCACTCCCAGTGACTTTGTAGATTTAAAGAACATTGACCCACTTCCAGGTTCTCCCCGTACTGTATGGTGTTGTCAATTAAAAGTAATAAGTCGGATATTGCTTCTTCATCTGTGTTATCGAGGGGGACAAACCTCACCTAAATATTTTTGGTGGTAGAAATACAAGTATTCAGAAAAAATAAAGTATTTGATAAAATCTTTAATTACTCTTAGTTTTATTTAAATTCAAACGTCCTCACGAGGCTATAGTCTTCCAATACAGTTGCGATGGTTTCTGTAAGTCTTCGGTACTTAGCATTCCATGGAGTAGTTTCTTCACTACGAAGAAGTGAACTGGAGTCGGCTTCCAAAAATGTTTCCAGAAGGGCTTTGTTTCGTTCCGATAAAAGGTCAACTTTTGTCAAAACGTTAACTGCAGGCACCTAATAAAAAATACAAATAACTAATCGGACCATTCGGAAAGATACAACTTAACATCTAAAAATGGTACCAACCTCAAGCGTAACCATTGTTGAGAGTGTAGTTAAAGCACCAGCTAAGAATTTATCAACGTCTAACACAAAGTGAGTATCCAGAAGAAAAACTGTGCACACATTAAAGTCCCAAGACTTCAGTGCTTCCACAAGTTGACTCATCACGGGTAAATGACTGTACAATTCAATCTGTCCTAAAACAAAAGTTGTTTTGTCATGAAATTATTTAAGCTGCGATCACGTCAAAAAATGAGACTTCTCAAATAAAATAAAGCAGGTAATACCTGGGCAATCAAATAAAAAATAATCATCTTCTGCTTCGTCAAGTTGCTCATGAAGCCAATCTAGATTTTCAATTAAGTACTCCATGCAAAAAACTAAAGCTCCATTAGGACCGAATGAGAGGTCCTTGTCTTCTTGAACATCATCAACACTTATCAAGTCTCGAACATCTAGAAACAATTAAAACTAAACAGCAAACTACTTCAATAAAATAAGAACAGCCTCCAAAATCAAAAATTCAACATCCTTATTCAAATTGTATTTCAAGCAAAGGAAAATTAATAAAACTTCAACACACCGACTGCCGGCTGGTAGTTAAAAACTTCTGCAGCTGGGTCGAGGTTAACAACAAAAACAGTACGCTGAATATTCTCGCAGTGTTGTTGAATTGTTGAGCAATAAGTTGACTAAAATCAGCGAGTTTGAACGATAGAGGTCAGGATCAAACGAGAAATAAGAGCAGCGCTGCCTTTCAGTTTCAGGTAAAATTAAAACACCAAAGTCCTCAAATGATCTAACCTTGCCACTGCCAGCAGGACCGACGACTAACTGAGCGTATTTCATAAGTTCGTGTGAGACACTTGCCCTATATACCAGTAATACTACCAGTGTATTCAACAAAGTAATCTGAAACTAGGTAGAAAACTTAAAAAGGTGGAAAGGTAGAAAGTTGAGCAACGAAAGAAGTCCCGAAACCACTGATTAAGCGCTTCATTCCAAAGTAAAAAGCCTCCGTCAGGGAAATAAAGCCACTATAAAAGTCATCCTTCCCTATTCGGGCGTATAAGGCAGGAAGAACAACAGCGAGCAAAGAAAATAAAAATTACCACAGAAACATTCTATTTTATCTAAAAGCAAAAAATTAACCTTCAACGTGAACTTCCCCATAATAATCATACAAACTTTTAACCTTCTCATCATCCTTGAAAAATACTGGTATAAATATACAGTAGCGACGGGTCTTCAATACCCGATGAAAAAAAGTACCCGGGAAACGATAACTACATTTTATTCCATGTAAAATGACAATCACTGACTCTCGGAATTGGTTTAATGATCAAACAAATTCCGCGCAAGGTAGATATCATCTAAGAATTTTACAGCTCGAGGTCCAGCACAGAAATCACGGAAGTCAGCCAGCATATAGTCCTGGAACTCCTCCGTACAGCCTCTAAACCACGGCACTCACACAATTAAAACAGTGATTGCGTTTAGGGTGTTTTGAATAAAAAGTGCAACGTATCACTCATTTGATAACGACTCACGTGTTCGATCTGAAGCGGTTACTAAGCATATGATTCCAGGCCCAGAGGAAAATCTTCTTTAACGTGTCGTACACAAGGAACATCCCGCCAGACACATGGACATACCGCCTTCCATAATGTACTTGACACCCCAAAGCAATGAAGCCAAACGCTTGCATGATCTCCAAAACAGCTTTTGAAACCTAAAAACCAATGAAATTACAAAAATAAGATTTTAAAACAAGGTTTGAACTAGTTAATCTGTTTTAACCTCTTCTGTGGAATACCCTGGCGGATTGAAAGGGATTGCAATCGGGCGTCTTAAAGGCAGCGACAGTGGATCCGCATAGCAAGGAATAGGAACAGTGGGTATGGGAAAGAGATTATGCTGACAATTTGTAGCTTTACTACACCACTGACGTATAAGCTCCGCAACAGTTTGACCTGTGGCCATATACCATTGAAGAGAAAAGTTGTATGCGGCATCCTGGCTGTAAGTTGAACTGAAGTTCATCTAAAATCTGAAGAAAATATACTTCTCTGACTTTGAAAACACACTGCTGACCCATCCATTAATCAATACATATAAAGCAGTTTTTTACAAAATAAAAGATTAACAAGATTAAACCACTGTCGACTTATATACCTTCAAAATACTTTTCAGGAACTGCTCGCTTACAAGAGGCCCGCTCAAAAGTAAGAAAACCAAGAATTACCTTCCCCCACTCTGTAAACTGAGGAATGTTTGGCGGCAGGTAAGAACCACTCAGATCGTTACTTCTTTGCATATGAGAAAAAAAATCTATTTCAATGCAGCTTGTTGTCTTCCGACACTGATCCTGGCTACTAAATACAATTATTCCAGCCAAATAAAATTTGCAATTAATAAAAAATTGCAGAAAAATCCACTATTCAAGTTATTCAAAACAACCATAGGTTTTTAATCAAGAGAACCTGTCAATGAATTCACACTGTATCGCTGGAGACCAAGATTTGCGTGGTGTTTTGGTGCTTTGAAAATGGCAAAGAACAAAACCATACCGCATAGGAAATGTTCTGTCAATAAAGGACTTGCATTTGCTGCTAAATGCATTTGAAACTTCATCTGCAAAAAATTTCAGATTAAAAAGTAAGAGAATTTACAGAGTCTGCATTAACTGTGAATTCAAAAAAAAAGTGTTAAGCACTTTTTATGAAGTATAAAATACCAATTTAAAATATACCAACGGGTAGTACTTGAATATTGCGAAGTATTCCCACCATATTGCAGTATTCTAAAGCTGCATCACGCTGTGGCAAACTCTTCACATTAGTCATAATCCAATCTACTAAATCGACAGAAAGAAAGAGGTAAGGTGGGAATCTATAAAAATATGTATTTTCTCTAAGTACTAAAAGATAGTCTGGCAATATCTGCTAAGTAAGCAGTAAGGACTAGTGTTGGTCGTAACAAAAAAATTCTCACTTCTGATTTAACTCTTGTGAGAAAAGAGGTGTGTAACTTTCGTTCCAGGCGCGAAAAACTGCATTATTATTTGAAATATCAAGCACACTTTCTGAACCTTTTTCAGGAGAGCAACTCGCTCCAGATGCTCTAAAATAACGACAGACAAAAAAAATTATAACGGAACTACACTAGTGGATTATATACGTACACTGTATGAACTACGACTTTTCTGTGTCAAATAATAGAAAAACTTTTGGAATGTACTTCTTCGCGGGCACTGGAACAGAACCAGCTTTTGTTTTCAAGCGATTCATAAATTCTAGAATTCTGACAAAACCGTCTTTTTGTTCCTTTCTGAATCTCGGGCAACTCAGCAGATTACTATAGACATCCCCGTGAAGACGATCATGCAAAATTGAACGTGTTATGTTCAGACAAGACGGTGTAAGAAGAAATCTGGAAATATAAAAAGTAAGACTTAATGACTAAATAAGAATAGAAAACGCGATGGACAAGTTGACAGAGGCAGAAAAACCCAAATTTCCAAAAGTATTATTGAACAGACTTTGCAGAATAACATCTGATATCGTCTTCACTAAATGCAGAAATATTGCGGTATTGTATCTGAGTATCCAACAAACTCCAGTTAATAGAGCCCAATGAATATGGATGGAAGCTAAAAATGCAAAAAATGAGAGTCAGATCACATGATAAACGTAAGCAGTTTCATGCAAAACCGTAGTCCCTACCTCAATATTACAAATCATTATCAAGCTTTGCAGAATGACAGCGTTTGAATTACGGATAGCAGAACATAGAGAATTACCTCATAAGTTCAACTCAGTATAAATTAGTACACTGCAAAAAATGTCAGACTCCAACAGATTGTGGCCAGCTATGACCAATCTTGAAATTTTATAACTTTCTCCACTATTTGCAGAATTAAATAATTTTAGTTATTTTTCGTATAATTTCCATTTCAAGAAGCTCTTGAAGTTCCA